TGATCTGGTGAGTCAATGATCTGGTGAGTCATTGATCTGGTGAGTCATTGACTGGCGTGTCCTCTGATCTGCTTCCAGCCGTCTGGTCTCGTCTTACAAAGGGAAGTTCGGTTACGTCCGTTACTCCGTGCGAGCTGTGCTGGACGGCCCTACCCAGAATGCTTTGCACTGTGAGAAGGAGTTTGAGGTGGAGGAGCCGCTGGACATCAACCGACCGGACCTGCTGGTAAACAAACAGGATTATTAGTTCATTACATGTTCCACAATAACAACGATAACCAACACGAAGTCTCAACAAACTAAACGCCCGTCTGCTGATCACAGGGGTGCCGGTTCGATCCCCGGCTGCTCCGTATGCCGACCTGTAGAATCATATTCATGCAGATATTAATCTCATTAATTTAACTAAAGGCCGTTTGTTTTCATGTCATTATGTTTTTATGTTGTTTTTGGCATTAATACTTTCACATTTAACGTGAATGTTAACCACAAATAAATGCATCAACCAATCATGTCCAAGGAACGGGTTGAGTTACGTCCATGTTTATGTATTTATATTAATATTCATATATTTTAGTTTTAATATTTATATTTAAATTGATACATTTGTGTTTATATATTTATATTTGTACATTTACATTAATATTATTTGTTTTGTTTTATATTTATATATTGATATCGACATATTTATATCAACTCGGAGGCTCCGTATTCTGAACAAGACTGCAAACTTTATTACTTCTTTCAGCTTTTAACCAGATCCACTCCTTCTGTTCCTCCCTTTCACAATAAAAGCCCTCGACATATAATATTCGCACGCAACTGAAAACCCAGAAACGGATATGAAATAACTTGTTTAGTTATACTTTTTTATTAATAGATGAATGATACTTGTGTCCTCAGGCTCCGGCTGCAGCCTCCAAACAGAAGAATGTCACCTGCATGTTCATACCTGACGGTCAGGTGTCCATCAGTGCTCGGATCGATAGGAAGGGCTTCTGTGAGGGAGAAGAGATCAACATCAACGCCAAGTTCGAGAACACCTGTTCACGCATCGTAATGCCGAAGGCCGCCATCATTGCCAAACACTCGTACCTCGCCGGTGGACGCATCAAGGTGACGACTTCCTGTTCCTCAACGGGACGACTTCCACTGACCTCACTCTCGTGTTTTTATTTTCAGGAGTTGCGTCAGAAACTGTCGACGGTTCGAGGAAACCACATCATCTCCAACATGTGTGACGTGTGGCAGGGGAAGACCATCAGGGTCCCAAAACTGAAGCCCTCGCTGCTCGGCTGTGACATCATCAAGGTGGACTACGCCCTCATGGTGAGTCATGGCAATGACGTCGCCACAGGGCATGTGATGAGGTGAGGTAACAGACGATAAGATGAGACGGAGATGAGAAGAGATATCAGATAACATGAGATCAAATATGAGATAAGAGGCTATGAGAAGATATAAAATGAGACATATTAAAGTGAGATTGATTAGATAAGATCCTAAAGTTATAAGATATCAAGGTAGATTAAAAGTTAACCTGTAACTCTTCTATGCAGAAAACTTAAAATGAGATTAGACGTGAGCTATCTCTTCTCAGCAGATGAGATAATATAAGAAAGATGAATCGAGATGAGACGAGATAAATAAATGTGAGATTAAATAAATTGAGATTATCTGTGAACTGTCTCCGCTACAGATTCAGATGAGATGATATAAACAAGATGAGATGCTTTTTAAAGAAAGCTGACATCAAATATATGATACATTGATCTGAGATATAAGACATGAAGTGTTCCCCCCCACCTCCAGATTTACCTGCACATTCCCGGCAGTGAGAAACTGATCCTGGAGCTGCCTCTGGTCATCGGTACGATCCCGCTCAGCGGCGTCGGCAGCAGGACCAGCAGCATGAGCAGTCAGGCTGGATCCCTGAGCAGCTGGTCCTCCTTCCCCTCGGCCCCCCCCAGCTACAGTAACATCCACAGAGACGTCCGGGTGGGCGACCCCCTCACCCCTCTGCTCCGTGACTACGACGGAGGGGAGGACGAGGAGGACGAGGGGGGGCTCTTAATGAGAGCACCTGAACTGTACTACCCTCCTCCACCAGCGTACAGCAAGGTGAGACCAGCTGACACAGTCCAGTCCGGGTCGGTTTAGTTCGTCTGTCTGTGGCTTTAAGTGGTTTACACCTGATTACATGAGATATTAAACAAAATGAGATATAAAACATGAGATATAACATGAGGTATTAAACATGATATATAACATGAGGTATAACATGAGATATTAAACAAAACTAGATACAACAAGATGAGATATAACAACGAGGTATTAAACAAAATGAGATATAACAACGAGGTATTAAATAAAACTCGATATAGCAAGATGAGGTATAACAACATGATATATAACATGAGGTATAACAAGATGAGATATTAAACAAAACTAGACATTAAACAAAATGAGATACAAAATGAGATATAACAAGCTGATGTATAACAACATGAGATATTAAACAAAATTAGAAATTTAAAAAATGAGATACAAGATGAGGTATAACAAGATGAGGTATAACAACATGAGATATTAAACAAAATTAGATATAACAAGATGAGATATAACAAGATGAGGTATTAAACAAAATAAAATGTAACAAGATTACATTTTAACAAGATGAGATGTAAAGAAATTTGATTAAACAACATGAGATAAGGCAAAATGAGATTAAACAAAATGAGAAATATAAGAAAATATCAGATGATAAAATACGACGAGGATCTTAGATGAGATGAAATAAGATGAAACAATAAAATATGATTAGATGGTATAGTTTAAATGAGATGAGAAGATGAAATAGTTTGGTTTTAAGATCTCCTTCTGTTTGTTGTCTTCAGGTCAATCAGGACACCGTGAATCCTCCTCAGGTGGTTCAGGTCTTCTGAGGACTTCCTGTTTCAAACTGCCCCTCCGCCATGACTGGACTGTCATTCTCAGGACTGCAGCACTGAGCTGCGTGACGACGTCCTGATGACTGTGTCCTTTCCTGATTGTCCAACAGTCTTGTCAATGACTAAGCAGTTTACTGATTATGAACAGTTTCTTGTCAGTGACTAAGCATTTCCTGACAATGAGTCGGTAGTTTACCAATGACTCAGTAGTTTGTCTTTAGTGACTCAGCAGTTTCTCTTTAGTGACTCAGCAGTTTCCATTTGATTCAGCAGTGTCTCATCAGTGACAGGAATTTCCTGACAATGACTCAACGTGTTTTAACACTTTATTTAATGTTTTTTGTTGTGGAAATTTTTGTTGTGACTCCGTCGAATGGTTGTTTTTCTACTACATTGACAGGTTACAAGTTACAATTGTATATATGATGTAAATAGGAGCACATGTATATTTTTTTACTTAATCAATAAATCAGAGTCAAGTTAAACGACGCTTTTAGAGATTTAGTTTTTTCGTCACACTTTGATTCTCAATCCTCCAGGAATTACTGAAAGTCAGTGTGTGTGTGTGTGTAATCTGACTCTGTTGTTTACTCCGACTATTAATGTCTCAGTCGCCTCTCGCACCTTTCTTCTACTGTTTATTTTAGAGCTGCAGCACGTCTTCACTCTGATTGGTCAGATGTTGCTGCCAGGCTGCGTGTGATTGGTCGAGGCCTATTCAGCACTCAGATTCCTCTTTCTGTGTCTACTTTTAGAATTAGCGAGTTAATGCTTATGTTAGCGCTGCAGACGGACAGGAGGTCAAAGGTCATGGCATGCTGTAGTCCAGCGCTCACTTTAACTAGTGACAAGTGAACACACCACGTCTAGTTTAACTCAGGACGAGGTTCCCAGAACAGGAAGTATGTTTCCAAGAAAAATTGTAACTGTAGAGGTGGGATTTAATTCTGTTGACCTCAGACCAGCGAGGACGGGAACCTGAGACACTCTGAACTATACTATGACTTAATTTTTTACTTTTTTCGACAGGCAACTTTCACTGAAAGGAACAGGGATTCAACAAACACTTTAATAAATAAGGTTATGAACATGTCTTTAACTCGTCATGTAGCTGAAGTTTATTTTTCAACAAACAGAAACTTTTTCACATGAGATTAAAACACATAAAACGTTGATAGAAAATCTTAAAAAACTTTTCAGCTAACTCAGAAATCTTTAAAACTTGGGACGAATAAATGCTGATGAGTCGTATTCAACTGAATGTTCACCCACTCACCCACCCACCCATTCATTCACCCACACACACATTCATTCATTCACCCACTCACTCACTCATTCACCCACCCACCCACTCACTCACACACATTGAGTTTTGTCTGTTTATAAAACTGTTGCTGGACGGTTTTTTTTCAGCTGTAAAAAGTGACAGAATGCTGCTGATAAAATACGTGTTGAGTGTGTGTGAGTGTGTGTTCAGTGTTTCAGTAAATAGCCTCGTCCATGTTCTCGTCACTGTCTCCTCCGAACTCCTCCCCGTTATCAAAGTAGGACATGATGTAATCCGTCTCCTGCAGACACAAAACAGGAAGAATTCATATTCATGTTTTAATAAACATGAATATTCATCGTGCTGCATATCGTTTGAACATGTTCCGTATCGATATAGAGAGATATATTGTTATGTTTCTATAAATGAGCTCATTTATCTATTTTATGTAAAATAGTTCGTTATTAACATTCAGTTCATGATGTAAAATAATAATATAATTAAACTGTCGGAACTCTATCGGACCCTGTTCTCTGATTTCACACTTTAACGTTTATTTACATATTAAATATCAAATACTTCTGTAGATATTTATCACTTTTAGAAATACGTCCGAGTTGATGCGGACTTGTTAAGGTGGACGTCTGAGTTGATGCGGACTTGTTAAGGTGGACGTCTGAGTTGATTGAGACTTGTTAAGGTGGACATCTGAGTTGATGCAGATTTGTTAAGGTGGACATCTGAGTTGATGCAGACTTGTTACGGTGGACGCCTGAGTTTATTCATGATGTCTTACCTCCTCGAACTCTTCCTCGTCGTACTCTTCCTCTCCCTCAGCCTCCTCCTCCTGCTTCTTCTTCTTCTCCTCCTCTCCCTCCTCCTCCTCCTCAGAGCTCTGTTGCTCCTCCTTCTGCAGAGTCTAACACAGAAAACAGGGTTAAGGTGGAAATGTTTCTTTAAGAGCTCGAATAGAGATTAAAGGATCAGGATTGGTTGACTGTTGAGCTCTGCTCTCTGATTGGAGGACAGGGATCAGCTGGTGTCCGTGTGTCTCACCTCCAGTTTGAGCAGCACTTCCTCTTTTTCTTTCTTCTTCTTCTGCCCCGACTTAGGTCTGTCAGAGCAGCTGACCGCTGCTGAGACACCTGACAGACACAGCAGGACATCAACACACCCACAGTCATCAATACAGAGTACTGTGTGTACTGCGCGTCCTGTGTGTACTGTGTGTACTGTGTGTACTCACCGTCTCTTGAAGGTTTCTTCACTCTGAGTTCTTTCGGGAATTTTTTCCAGACTGAAAGAAGAAAATATTTTATATAATGATTATTAATAACACAAATATATGATTATATACATAGATTATTATGTATATACAGTTATGTGAAAAAGTGTTTGGCCCCTTCCTGACCCAGCTCTACTCTTCATCACTATGATGCTGTAACTCAGAGGTGATGAAGGTGACCCAGCTCTACTCTTCATCACTATGATGCTGTAACT